TGTTGTGTTTGAATTTTATTCTGTTGAGTTTATTGACAGTAAGAAACATATAGAATAAAACCTCATCCTTTTAAAACAGGTCACAAAGTGTATTTAATTTTTAAAAAAGGCTCAGTAAACAGCTGGCCACAATAGTTTTTGTTTAAGTCTATTTTATATGGCGGATGAATATACATTTGGTGCTCTAGTGAGTATTTGTGGCAGCAGGACAGATGTAGGACTGAACCAAAATAAAAAGTGTGTTCATGGTAGTGAAGGAACATGTTAGCCAGTGCAACAGTGTGGCTCACTGATGTGTTTTTAATAGTTTTTGGACAACAATGCCAATAAAGTGGAAAAATTCACCAATCACTGATATGGCGGCCAATATAGTGAATTTTTGAGCTGATCCTTTCAGCTAATATTTGCATATTGCACACATATCAGTATCGTGTTATTGGTATCAGCGTATACGCTATCCGATATGCACCGATACGGATATATATTCAATATTTTCAAAGTTTATCCAGCAGAGTGCACTTATTTATTTATTTAATTATTATTATTATTTGCGTTATTTACAGTACTGTGTTAAGCAGCACACAGTAAGAATGAGAGAAGTAGCAGCTGTCAGCAATGTTAACTAGAATTGTTTGACAATGTATATGTTCAATTATTTTTGTTAAATATTCTTTCATAAAGTTATTTGTTTAAGAAAGAAGCATCATAAGGTACCTCTGCGTAGTCATATCCTGTGTTGGGCAAGTTACTGAAAAATAGTAACTAGTTACATAAAAGTAATGTAAAAATAATTAGTTACTAGATAAAGTAACTTTTGCATTATTTTTAAATGCCTGCTTAATTATCTCATTAATCTCAATAGCTGTCCACTATATTATGTTACTGTTGCTAATGACAAACAAATATTAATACTCCTGATCACCAGAGGGCACCTAGTTGTTGCTGCCCTCTGGTGGCCACTAAACTTATTGTATTGGTTAGTAGACAGGAGGATTTAGTAAAAGAGGACCCACGTGGATGTACGCATTAACCGAGCTTAGCTACACTAGGTAGTTAATAAATAATAATTGTTATTATTATATTATTAATGATTTTATCAAGGTGATACGCTTGGATGATCTGCATTTCTGTTCTGCCATCTTCTGCAGGCAAAATTGATGCACAACCTATGTAGAAAAACTCTATTTTTATTCCAGCTCAAAAACTCACTATATCGGCCGCCATATCAGTAAATTGTTCCCCTCTAAAATCAGTATCAGTCTCAAAAATCCCATATCGGTTGGGCTCTAATAGTAATATTGCCTGGTTGCAATGCTGCTACAGTCTTTCTTTTAAAAATACTGGAATTGAAATGAGCAAGATATGTATGGATAAAAGTACAAAAATTAGGTAAGAGAAAGAGATAGACACAGAGAGAGAGACAGGCAGAGAGACATAGAGGGAGACAGAGACAGGCAGACAGTAGAGTTTAATGATTCCAGATGAGCTGAGTGGTCTGCCTGACAACTGAAATGAACAGGAATCAATAGTGAGAGCGTCTGTCTGCGGCAGATAAGACACACACACACAATGTTGACTATTAAAGACGACAGCTTGAGATATTACACTATTAGTTATGCTATTTTTAATCAGCTATCATATTTAATTAATTCTTCAGGTCAGATGCTATCTGTGTGTCTAACTGTGGGTATGTGTGTGTGTATGGTGGGGGGGGGCTGTGTCTGCGCCTGGGTCAAGTGTGTGTGAGTGGAGGATGGGGGGCTATTACTCCTGTAATGGGGAAGAGGAGGAGGGCTCATCTAAAATATAGAACCTTGAAAAGACACAAAATAGAAAAACAGGAGTGATGGAAGAAGCAGAGAGAGGGATGAAAACAGGAGGCAGACAGGGACGGGAAAATAATTTGGACTATTTGTTTAATAATAATAAATAGAGTTTACTGATGTGGGTTTTGAAAGCCAGTGATTTTTAGATTTGTTGATAGCAGACAATCAATATTTTTACATTTTTTTATTTTATTTTTAAGTATTCAGTGTTTCTTATCAAGCCTGTCAAACTTTGATTTAAAAAATCATATATAGTTTATTAAATGTATGTGTCATTATAACGAGCTCATGTTTAGATGGTAATTGTGCAACACGGAGCGTTTGGGAATTAGAGTGTGTACTGTATACAGTCTGAGATATGAATGAAATGAAACTAAATACAAAGAATTTAGTGTGATTCGATTTCTCCACCATTCACAAAAACACACATAATGAAATATGATCAGTTAATGTGGTATATGTGTTTTTGAATTGAGGGATGCACCATGGAATATATATATAATAGGAAGAATTAAAAAAAAAATGTAATAATAATAATAATAAAAATAATAATTAACAATCATGCAAACATTTGTGAACTGTGTCAGAAATCCATCCAAGAATTAAGTATTGATCAGTTGCACAATAATAACAATGTAAAGTGGATCATATCAGAGGACACTCAACAGTGAATAAATGTCCAGCAGTGTCCACGTGTGTTCACAGCAAGCAGAGACAGAGACAGTGGAGGGCTGAGGAGATGAAGGTTGTAGGTCTGATGAAAGCCTTGCTATCATCACCTCACTCTGACCAGCCACCAGTGTGAGATCAGGCAGCTCAAGCTGCTAATTATAGTAATTATGATTCATTACTGGCTGAGATTAATTTAATAAAGAGGAGGCTGAGCAGAGCTCGTTAACCTTCATTAGAATAATTATAGACGCAAGACACACACGGGCTCACTCACACACACACACACACACACACACATGCATGCTGACTGGTGAGAGGGAGAGGCTTGGGAGCGTTCCCACAGTGTCCGCTGGCACACACTGTGGGAACCGGGACTGCCACTGTGTGTGTGTGTGTGTGTGTGTGTGTGTGTGTGTGTGTGTGTGCGCGCATGTGTGTGTGTGTGTGTGTGTGTGTGTGTGCGTGTGTTGTACGATGATCATTGTGAGGAGCAATTGTCATTATAACAATAATAAAATGAGGCAGAAAGGGCTGCTAAGTGTGAGCATTTTGCAGATCCTCACTTAAGGTAATTATTAATTATGAGTCAGTAACCCCTTCCTCACACACTCACACAAAATTGTATTATGGCATTTTACCAATACTGCACACTTTTTTATACTGTACTGAACCTTTATTGTTTATTGTTATTGTAAATGTATGGTATTATTATTATTACATTATTTCATTGTATTTATTCATCATTATTACATTACTGCTGCCATTCATTTTATTTCTTATATTATTGTTGTTGTAGCTTCTAAATGATGTGTTTTATTACACAACATTGTTCAGTAAATTTGAGGTGTTCAGTCTAAATGCCACAAGGGCCAAAAGACAAAGCATTTCATTGGGCTGTCACAGATGTAGTGTGGAACAGGGTTAGATTGATGTTTAAACTTACCTTTTGAGTATTAAGTTGTTATACATCTTTAATTTGACCTGGTAAACCTTTTATTTATTTACCCTCAGTGGAATCCAGAAGAGGCTGCCTTGCTGCTTGGACTCCATCTACAGATAAAAACCATAATAACAGTAGTTAACAGGCTGATTTTCCCCACCACTTCTCCTCTGTTCATTCTTCCTGTAGCAGTGTGTGTTGGCAGTGCTTTATAGTTTTCTTCCACCATAGTTAAAATGCTAATATTTCCCAAGGTGAATAAGCTGCTGTGATATTTAATATAGTTAATATATTGACTGTTTTAAAATAAAGCCATAAAGCCTCTGGGCGGAAGCAGGAAGTAGATCAAAAGGCTCCTGTAATGGGTTCAGCTCTCTGATTGGCTAATCATGTCTCATTGTTTCAGCCATTATTTTGCTCAACTTTTAATTTCTTCCTTCTAAGGATCATTGAGCAAGGCAATTACATGGAGCTGACCTTGTGTATTAGGGCCGGGGAGGAGGACAGGAAAGATGTCCCATCATCGCCGCTTTCTTTTTTTTTAAATTTCTTCCACAACAATATAAAAAGTGTGGCGTCAGAGCCTCCATCACTATTCCTCTCTCTCCTCTGTGGCCGAAAATGAGAGTCAACGGAATATTAAGTCCCTAGCATTTGAATAAACACGTCGTGTGTTAAATCAAAATCCAATTCTGTGGTCTATTATTTTCTGGCATAGTAATGACTGCCAAGGATTAGGAATCAATATTTCACTGCAGCGGGGACATTACCGGCTTTATTCAGGCCGTAATTGAGTTTTGAGGAGAGGCCCTGCCCTGGAATCTGCATTAAAGATAAGGGCTCCTTTCATATGGATGCACAAGTAAAGCTCGAGCGAGGCGACACATTACACATCAGCTACACATCAATTACAGCTACGCCAGTTAACCTTGCAACACACCAGCTACTGTAACTCTGCTACACACTAGTTAACGCTAATTCTAGCTATCATAGTTTATAACCGACTGTGGTAACTGTTGTCAACCTACCTGTACAACTACACCTGCTATACAGGCTAATAGTTCACCTGCGAGCTAATAAAGCAACTAACATGTAAACAAAGTAACATTAAAGGTCTGTGAGCCGGTGCGGCGGACTGTAAACTGAGCAGAGGCAGCGCGCGCTTCCCGCTCTCTGCCTCTGTCTCTCCTCGTGCTCGGAGAGCGAACTGGCCGCAGCACTCCGCGCGCGCGGCCCGAGATAATAGACCATTAGTGAAAGTGGGATTAATTTGTAGCCAATTACAACCCCGAGAGTTGAATGGGAATGCATAAATAAGGAGGGAGACGCACACGCGCGGATATTAGGCTATATGTGAGTCCTATATGATAGTGGGTCCTCGAGGGGCCGGGTAAAAACCAAAAAAGGCGTTGAGAGCCGCACGAGCTGAAGGAGAGAGCGAGCGAGCGAGAGAGAGAGGGAGGAGAGAGGGGGCTTCACTTAACTAATGGGGAGAGAGGGACATAAGAGAGAGAGAGAGAGAGAGAGAGAGGGGTAGTTTTAACTATTGGAGAGATAGATCAGCGTCTGTCCCGCCTTCAACTCCTGTCAGCCTTCCAGAGCGCGCGCACACCGGTGACCAGACAGAGCGCGCGAGGCTGGAGGTCGGGACGCCGAGCGCTGTTTATGTGTGTGTGCCAACACGGGATAACGGCGCCGTACAAGACAGACAGACATTAGATTACCGGAGACGTTGTGTTGCCGCGGTGGATGCGGAGGATGAAGGGAAAGAGCCGGAGGCAAGAAGACAGAGAGAAGAAGTTTAAACTTTAACGGGACCGCGACCGGTAGCCTAGTCCGGTTAAAGACGGCAATCTGTCCAGACTCTTACCTATGGAAAACTTTAACGGACTGAAAACATAATCTCAGACTGGATGTTGACGGGACTCATGAACCGGCCTCCGTGTGAACTTAATATTTTGGCATGAATATCCTTTAAAACGGTTTGAATCTTTTTCATTTTACACCGTTCCTGCTTTTTATTCCGGATTCTTAATATATGGGAAAGGGAGAGTAAAGTGATGAACCGGGACAGAGCGGTAACGGGGCCCGGAGCGGACGGGGTCCAGACCGTGATAAACCGGGACAGAGCCGTAGCAGGGCCCGTGGCGGACGGAGTCCAGCCCGTGATGAGTCGGGACAGAGTGGTACCGGCCCCCTGCGGGGACGGGGTCCAGACCGTGGTGGGCCCGGACAGCGGAGACATGCTGGACGGAGGTGCCGCCGGGGAGAAGCGGCTCTTCTCCAACGCGGTGGCCGGAGGCAGAGATGCTCAGGCCGTGGAGAACCACTCGGAACCTCCGCCGACGAACCCGGTGTTGGCCCCGCCACAGCAGGTAGATGGGACCAAAGTTCATGGAGTTTCTGTGCAGGAAAGTGTGGTAGGAGCAGATAGTAGCCCGCCACGGGAGGCATAGACCATAAATACAAATACAGTTAGTATAAATATAAATAGGTGTATAAGACTGTAGATGTGCATAAAATAAAGGCACATGTCGGTAGACACAGCTGGCATGAATCAGAAAAGTGAGAACTGCAGCGCCGAACATGAACTGTGATTAAGAAAAAATGAATGAAGTTTAAAGAGCGCGAGTGGAGCCATGTGTAGGATGTTGTTTTTGTTTGTTTGGTTCTTTTTTACGATGATGTTGAAGGTAGTTTCGTTTTGTCAAGTAAAGCGTGTTTGGCACGGGCCTGCGCTGTCATGCTGTGGCTGTCCGGTGCGTGCAGGCAGATGAGGCCTTAATTAAGATATAGCAGGAAAACGAAGAGCCAGTTTGCTGCGGTGATGTGATCGGAAGCAATAAGAATAAAGTCGATACAATCAAACGCGTTTCCATAAACTCTCAGAGGAATAAATACTGCAGGCTGGAATCATACTGCGCTCCAATGCATACAAACCCAATGGAAACATGCGAATTTAACAATTTCAGAATTATGTGATTTAATCTGAATAGCAGTAGGCCTATGCAAACAATTGAATCTTTATATTTGCCTTAAATTGAATTTTTCTTAGCTAAACGAAAATTCCATAAAGTGTTTGTTTAAAAAACGTTACAATTAAAAAGTAGGCCTATTAGAAATCACTCCAATTCTCCTCGAAGAAGCTTACATTTCCTCTTCAACCCGGGGTTATTGTGGACTTTTCCGTATCTTAAATAACGGATTCTTCCTCTTTATCACAGCTCAGATCGTGGCATTGGTGATTATTCTTATCATCAGATGTTAATAGGCCCCTGGGTGCTACCCGCATGCTCCCCCGGATTATTTAAAGAGAGAATTATAATATTATTAATGTGGGATTATTCATGTCGACATGCTCCAGACTGGCCTCATTAATAAATGAACGATCCTAATCAGGATGTAGTGCGGGGGGAAAGCCTCACTGAGCCACCCTTTATCTGCTCAACACAGTCGCACCTTTTGGGTTTGACATAAATCTGGAGGATATAAATTCACTGCACATATCTGTACCGTACAGTAAACACGGCATGCGGGGTCAAACTAAGTTATATGAGTGTTTGGGGGATTTTATGGAAATCATAAATTAATGCTTTCATTAAACTCTACAACGTTTGTTTTAAAGTCTTTTTTTTAACGGAAAAAATAATAATAATAATTGTTTAGGCTACATATTCTGCTTTTCTTTCACTACTTGACCTGTATAAATAAAAGTAGGATTGATTGGGTTCCCTTTTGACCGCCACATATTGGATATAGGAAATCCGGTTGATTTGTGTTCATGTTGTGAGTGTTGGCTTTATGAATACAGTTTACCGTCCGTTTTATTGGCTGTGAAGTGCCGGTGTGTGTCTGCCTCCAGGTGATAGTCTGCTCCAATACTTTAACACTACTTACACATATGGAGACTAATGTAACTGCTGTATTTCACGGGTTGTATAGCTATTTATTATTATCATTATTATTATTATTATTATTATTATTATCATTATTATTATTATTATCATCATTATTATTATCATTATTATTATTATCATCATCATTATTATTCTTATTATCATCATTATTATTCTTATTATTATTATCATCATCATCATATATTATTATTATTATTATTATTATTATTATTATTATTATTATCATCATTATTATTATTATTATTATTATCATCATCATCATCATCATCATTATTATTATTATTATTATTATTATTATTATTATCATCATCATCATTATTATTATTATTATTATTATTATTATTATCATCATTATTATTATTATTATTATTATTATTATTATTATTCGTTGTTTATGGTTGAAATAATTGTGGCAAGTGTTAAATTGAGGCAAATTAATAATCATAATAGCACACTTATTTATAAATAAATATATGACTAAATAAAGAATGAGTGAAAAACAAACAATAAGCAGAAAACATGATCATTTGGGAGCTTTAGAGGCTCGTGCTGCTCCGTCCACTCCGCACGGTGTCACAGTCAAACGGAAATTGCTTCCACGTGCTCTAATGAAAAATAAATAAATAAAAATACTGTGAATGAATAATTCCGATGCCTTGTCTTCCAGGGCCCTACCGGGCACCGGACCACCTCTTTCTCCGTACTGGACATCCTGGACCCCAACAAGTTCACGAGCAGCCGGAGACTCCAGCAGCAGCACGCGAGCCACCGAGGTGAGCGCGAGCTGAGCGGGTACGGAGCGGAGAACCGGAGAGGAGGGACTGCAGAGCGCGAGTCCAGCCTGGAGCCCAGTAAAGGCTGCTACGGTGCGGAGGAATACCAGAGCAGTAAGTCCGAGTTTACACGGAATGAGCCTTTAAAGTCAGACACCTTAACGCACCACCATCTCCATCTCAGCGAGTTTGTTTGTTTTCATTTTCCCGCCCCCGTTTTCTCTCAGTCGAAATGTCTTTAAACGTTAGTTTAAATGTGCTGCTTTTATTTTGCTTTTTTAAAATGATTATCATCGTTTGACTCAATCTGAATCTATTTGTGTGTTTTGTTTGATCGCTTTGAGGCCCTGGTTCACCCCCTACACCAAATCATTCACCTTATTCTCCTCCTGTCTTTTCTGTTGATGATTTATTCTTTCATTTGGATGATGTGGGTTTTATTCACCTATTCTTTTCTCTTTTTTTTAACGAACATCGAATTGTGTGCGTGAAGAGAGCCTCTGGTTTCACGGAAGGATCAGTGTGGTAACTTTATAAAAACAGAAAGCTGTTTTTAAGGTCAGCTGATGAGAGAAATCTTATAGATAGCAGGCCGACACATCTTTCTGTGAGTTTTTATAAGAATGAGAAAATCAGAATAAGGCTGTAGTAGGTGCTGTTCACTGTCGGTACAATGATCTGCCAGAGAGAACAGCTCGTCGCCTTTAATTGAAGCTCAGTTAAAAGAGAAAAAGGCACGAGGTAATTGGCCACGGTTCGTGTGTGTGTGTGTGTGTGTGTGAGAGAGAGAGAGAGAGAGAGAGAGAGAGAGAGAGAGATCGGTAATATTGATTGGTGAATATCTGTTTCAAGCAGCAGTCTGCACTGTGTGAGTGAGCCTCCATTCAAAGCCATTAGCTCCATTCAACTCCGTTCCCTCTATTTAATATTATACTGTCACAGTATTCAGCTGTTATTAACTATAATCCGGACAAAGGCTGATTCTTTTCTTTTCCTTTTAGATTTTAGATTTATTCTAATTTTATTTTTATGTTTTTTCGATGTGTGTTTTTTCCTTTTCTATCCTCAAATCTCTAGATTTAATTTCGCTTTTTTCTGAACTTTGGTAATTACACCTCAGTACAAAAATGAAGAAAAACTAAGTTTTAAGTTTACCTTTCCTGTGTACAAGCAGGTTGTGCCTAAATGACACAGCCAAACTTCATCTTAGAAATGTTTCCATTGAACTAAAAAACTGGACAGAGCAGAGATTTAGAAAAAGAATCCACTGAATGTTTCTTTCTAAAATGATTCCTCTATTTTTCTAAATAAAGCTATAGCATATGATAAAGAATTTTTGACCATGACCCTTTTCAAATGGCTACATTTTTATCAGACGCCTGTTTATATTACATTTTTATTAAACATAATGTAATGTAATTCAGTCAGACCACTAGACTGTAGTGAAGATTAATAAATACATTTGTGACATACTCTAAGATGAATTATTAAAATACAAAAAAATATAATAATATTTTTTAAATGCTACTTATAAAAATTCTAACTACCATTAACTACTAATTAATTGCTTAATAAAAGCATGTTTGGGCCCAACAGAAAACTCAAAAATCTTTAAATTAAAATGTTGAACACACCACACACTGGACTAATTTGTGTCTTTATGATAAAATGTTACACATTAAATTCGTGGGCAACCTGAAAGGAATAATGGCCTATAACTTTTTGTTTGCAGCTAAAATAAAATCTTAATACAGTTTCCCAGTTAAAGTTAGCTGGCCAATTCTTATATATCTCTCATTTTATTTTGGTTTTACTGTAGTCATAGTAACATGCTCTCAGTGGGGTTTCAGGGGAGAGCAGGCGTCCTTTGTTGGAGATAGTAAGTGACTTATTAAAAAAAACTATATTATGTTCATGTTATAATTTAGGGATTTTTTATTTTTATTTTTGTTGTTGTTTTAACTTTATAAACACGTGAGCACTGAGCAAGGCTGGATTACCAAAATGCAAAGCGGGAGATTTCCCTCAGTGGGCCTGAAGCCACTGGGTGCCACTTAGTTTGCTGTAATTGAATTTCACATGGTCAGTGGCTGGAATGTGTTTGTTAGCCTAATAAACCAAAGCACAATGTAAAGTGAAACCATAACCCACTCTGTTAATACCCCGCGTATATTCTCACAATCCCACAACAGACACACTGCAGCACTATTCCAGCTCATCTGTTTGGGGGGGGCTGGAGTGACCCACTGGGCCGTGGGGCCCTCTAGTGGGTCCATCCAGCCCTGGCTGTGTGATTCAGTTGCCAGTTGGCCGGTCTCCAGATGTTTGGATGATATTTCCACTGAGCACGGTCTAACTGTGTGATTAGTTCCTCTGGAACTCTGCTCCAACTTCAAATGATTTACACTTAAATGATAATGAGACATTAAGGCAGGGGAGGCCTCAGTGGTTTTTATTATGGCTGATTGTTGTTCACATTTCCACTCTGTTATTTCTATATTGTACACTGTCTTGTTTAGATACTTTTCAATAAACCACATTCCTTAAAGGTCTAGTGTTATATTATAGTTATATAGCCATATATCATACACAATATTACACTAGGACAGAGGTGGGTTTGACCAAGACTGGAGTATCAGCTGGGATCACCGTGGGGCAGTTTCATTTTTTTATTTATTGCACATTTATTTGCTAATGAACAGCACTAAAGCACAGTATAAATTCAAATGAAGCTATAACCTGTAACAGTTCTACATCAAAAGGTCTAAAAACGCTGGACCTATGTTCTATATGTAGTTGAGTTGTGTACTTCCATTATCCCAGATGTTTCCAACAAGGTTCAAACTCAGGGAACGCTGCGCGCCTTAGTTGTTATAACGTCCGGGTAACCAAGGGATACGTCAGAGAGTGAGGAAGGAAGCTAGCAAACACAACTAAAAGTAACCTCATCTGTGAACACAGATTTTCATTTAACTTAAGCCCATCACCGAGTCTAAAACAGATCATTACATTCATTACAGTTTTTTTAAATGAATGTAAATGAATGTGTTTGATTTGACACCAAACTGGAATGGCAAGCAAGGTGATTATAGTGAACTAAAACCAAACTAAAAACTAAAACAGGGTGTTCGAAAACACATTTTAGTTTATTGAAACAGAAATAAAACCTAGACTTAAGAAAAAAACTAAAATAACTGAAACCAAATTGTGTACTTACAAAACTAATTAAAATAAAAAACAAATACACAGGAAATGTTTTTAATTTTAGTCTTTGTCAATTTGGTTAAATAGTCAACACAACAAGCATAAGGAATGTTTGTATTGTGATACCTTTTCTGAACTTCTTCAATCTTGCCCCTGACAAATACCCCCCATATTATAATCATTTGACACTGAAACTAAAGAAAAACTAAACTAAAACTAACACAATAAATATTTTGAACAATAAAAACTGAAACAAGCAAACCTACTCAGTAAACACTAAAACTCTCAGCTGAACTGAAAACAAAAATTATAAACAAAATAAAAATAAAAACTAATGAAAAATACAAAAATATGATTTAACTTTAGCTGAAGCCCCCCTCTGGATCCGCCCCTGCTCACATGCTGTATATTTCCACTCACTGTGTGTTTGTGTAATGACCACTCACTAACCGTGGCACAAGGAAAAACATAAAGATGGGTACCAAAAGGGGCCCCCTGCTATCTTTTACTCAGGGGCCCCACAGCAGCACATAGTGGTCATTAGAGGAACTGCAGCCCAGCACACACACACTGAGTACTGCAGTACTTACATTACAGCATTTGGATCCTGATGATGTAATGGAGGTTGTCTTTCTCATGTGTTTCCAGAGGAAGGATTTGTATACAGAAGCCCAGATGAGGAGGACTACCACAGATCTGGGACCCCAGACTCAGAGGCTCCAGATGGGCCCTACAGCAGCGAGGAGAGCAGCTCAGCTCTGCCCAGTAACGGAGACAGAGATCTGGGCCAGCACAGCCACCAGGACCCTGGCAGAGACACCTCAAGCCCCGGGGGAGGCCCTGCAGGCCAGATCACCAACGCCCAGACCAATGGGGGCCAGGGCCAGCAGGGCAAGCCCAAGAGGAAGCGCTCTGGCTCAGACTCCAAGTCAGGGAAGCCCCGCAGGGCCCGGACTGCCTTCACCTACGAGCAGCTGGTGGCGCTGGAGAACAAGTTCAAGTCCACACGCTACCTGTCAGTGTGCGAGCGGCTCAACCTGGCCCTGTCGCTCTCCCTCACTGAGACCCAGGTCAAGATCTGGTTCCAGAATCGCCGGACCAAGTGGAAGAAACAGAACCCCGGAGCAGACACCTCCGCCCCCACCGGCGCAGGGGGAGGAGCTGGAGGTACGGGTGGATCGGGAGGTCTGGGGAGCCTCAGCCCTCTGAGCCCGTCCCCTCCGATCAGCGGGCACCTGGCCATGCACGCTGGCTACGCCAGCCACCATCACCCCCCCGCAGGCAGCCTGGTCCAGCTGCCTTTCCTCACCGCCAGCCACGTCCTGTCCCCCTTCATGCTGGGGACACAGAGCTACGCTGCACCTGCCTTCTACAGCACACACCTGTAGACACACACACACACACACACACACACACACACACACACACACACACACACACACACAGAGGGGTTCAGATCCACAAAGCTGACAGAGCCTCAGAGACTCTGAGCCCAGAGAGACTGAGATGTTTCAGTGTTTGAATGAACTGCAGCCAGACAGAGAGACAGACAGACTGTCAGCGCTCTCCTTTTTACTACCAACATTTGAAGGCTTTAATTTCAACGGATTATTTTGATAGAATGTGAATATCTACCAGAAACTGTACATAAATCTATGTTCTAGCTCCCTATTCTGAATGCTGTTTTAAACTACGTAATAGACAAATAGTTGATTTCTTTCTTTTCAAAAACAGTCTGTATGAATATTGAATGTTTATTTATGACTTAAGGAATGGCTTGATCTATTGTCAGTACCGTGTAACTCCAGCTGTGGTTGTTTTCACTTCTGTTATTTATTGGATTTCTTGACAATTTCCATAAAACCCTTGAATGTACTGAATCTTCAGCTCAACATGATATCGTCCTTTGATATTAAAATAATGACAATTAAACACTGGAAACCAGCCCTGTCCTCTCATTCTAACAGAGCAGCTGTTGTCCAAGCTCGAGCCGGCCAGCTGTGTCCTCTCTGTTTGCATCTTCTCCCATGTTAGGGACACTGGTGAGGTTTCTGTTCGTGTGTTAGTCCTGTGAGCGAACCCAACCTCTCACTCACTCAACGGTGAAGAAAATGATTTTATATATACAACAACAAAATGAAAGATTGCAGTCCCTTCAAGTTACACACACGATGCACATGACACGTGTCACATGCCCTCTGTGACCCTAAACAGTAAAAATAAGGTAAGGTATCAGATTAAGAGCCTACAGCAGTGACACTCAATTTATGGCCTGGAGGCCATTTTCTAATTCTCTGGGAATGTTTTGGTTTGTTCATACAGCTCTATTAGGAAATGTTCAATAGTGTCCCTTGCTGGAAGACTTGATTTCTGACCTCTGCAGGGCTGATGCCAATGGACTGGCCTCTATGAGCGAGGACAGCAAACGTTGAGGCTGACAAAGAATATTGATCAGTAAATATAAGATTATGAGTCTGAACTCATGTTATTCTGCCACATGAACTATCCTATGTTTATTCATTTCATCTGGTAAATATTATTATTTGTTCATTTTACAGAAGTGGCCCCTGAGCAAAGCAAGTTGAGTATTCCTGCTCTACAGCCATGCAAGCAGCTCTCTGCTAGCAACAGTGCTTTGAGCTGAATGCTAAAATGCTCAAAAAAGTAATGACTAGGTGATCTTTGTTTTAAAAAAGTTCAATAGTTTTGCAGGTTTTTGGTCATAAAAGCAAAATCAAGTTCAAATTCTGACCTGATGACAGTGTGGGATAAAACGTCAGTCACCACCAGAGTCAGTAGGACTCATCCAGTGGGGCTAACTAACAGCTGTCCACACATCTGAGGGCCAGAGGAGTGCTAGATGCAAAAATCTCACAAGGGGATCATCATTTGGAACATCGTCTGTGTAAAATCTGCTGGCAATCCATCCAATATTTGTTGAGATATGTCAGTTTGGACCCACCAACACTGGCCTCCCTCGAGCCATGTAGGTAGTGTGGCTGAAGACTGATGGACACTAAAGAGCAGAAGCTGTCAGATCAGTGGGTTCTGATTCAGTTCAGCTCAGTTTAATTAAACAGCTTTAATTAATTAAGCTTTAATCATTGTCTTGCAGAGCTGAAAAAAGTAAACAATTTATTACAGTTTTTTTACACTCAAAAGAAACTGGTGACCCAAGTACCTGTGCCCACCTTGGGACTTCTTCTGTGAACAAGGTATGTTTCTCCTCAGCAGTTTATGAACAAAAAAATCCACCATGTGAATAAAAACCAGGACCCTGTCTGAAGCTGAGACTGCAGGTCAATCTTGAGCTGGGAAAAAGCAGCTGGAGGTCCACAGCCAGCGGACAAAGTGGTAGTGCCAAACAGGCAAGACATAGTCCAGGTAGACCATACTCATATCTGATAGGGAAGCCAGCAACATGAACACAAGAGTCTCTGCATGCCTGTTGGTTGTTTCCTCATGCAGGCACCACCGTGCTGATACACCATAGGACCAAAAAAAGACTAATTAGAAAGAGTACACACCCAAATACATCAGCTAAACAGCATTACGAGGGACAGCCACGGTGCTGCTGGTGAAACACAGGGTTATCCCAGTTTGGCCTCGAAGACTGCACATTTATAGAAGAGAAAGACTGTCACAAACCGGAGTTTACAAGAGTTGTCGTTTAGACGAATTCTCTTCTCATCTTTAGTCTTGTATTTGACTGTAAACTCAATATCTTTGGGTTATGGACAGAATGAGACATTTGAAGACGTCAGCTTGGTCTTTTGGAAACACTGATCAACATTTAACACCATTTTATGACATTTAATGGACCAAACAAATAATTGATTATTAGACAAAACATTAGCTGCAGTGGAAATGCTATGCTAGATTGTGTCATGCAGACACTGTGTTTATGTAACGTGTTTAAAGTGGTAGACTTTCAATTGTTCTTGTCATAGAGTACGTGTTATTCGTTCCGTCTCTGTCTCAATCACCCCACACATTCATCCTCAATTACTTCTTAAGTAGCTTCCTGTCCAGACGTCCACAGTCAATATGGAGCCGCAGGTCTGAATTAACCCTGAGTTGAGCTCGTTAAAGTGGAGGACAGGACAAAGACACAAACACAGCAGGCTGAGGAAAGATTTACAGTTTACTTGTGGCACAAATCTTTTTCACTTGCCTCATGTTCATTTAGCACACACGGCTTTAAACAAATACAAACAATACATACAGGAAAAAGAGTAAAAATCCACTGGATTTGGCTGATACAAAGGCAAGATTCAGCTCAAGAATGTAGCTGACAAATTAGACCAACAGAAATTCCATTTTTATTTTCTGATACTTAATTGTTCCAAAATCATTCCAGCTGCACCACAGTGTTCAAACCGTGTTTTAAATATCATATTGATCTCTTCATATACTGTATGTGCACATCAATAAGTTAAAGTCTGTCCTTCTTTCAGTGCGAGACAAGTTTATTAAGCCTAAAGGCTTAATAAAAGCACTCGGTCCTCTCCTTTCATCTGAAGGAATATTAAGGTGGTCTGAGGTCACTTGAGAGCGTAGTTGAACTGGTTAGAGAACTTGTCGTGTTTTCTGCTGTCGGCTTTGCTCAGCACGTCAGCTACTCTGCGCATGGTGCTCCTGGAGGGAAGGACAGAGCGGACAGCAGGAGAGAAAGACAGGAAGGAAATGAGACAGAAACAAAAAATAAAAGGTTAAACGTTTGCTGAGGAAATGTGCACAGCTACAGAGTGTATTCCACAAACAGCAACAGTACAGGATACGTGCTTAATAAACATTTCGCTATCTAGCTGATTATGTTGTGAAATCAGGTTCCTCTGGCTCCTCCTAGTGCTCCCGATGGTATCTGCAAGAATCCACCCGAAACCAACCAATCAGAGCCGAGAACGATAGTTGGTTCTCCCTTTTCAGCTGTTACAAAAATGAGGGAAGGACTAATAAAAGATGCTACTGCTTTGCATTATGGGAACTGTAGGATCCAGTGTTTTTGAGTCTGGATACTGCAGGTGGCCTAACTCTGTGGAAGTGACGTACTTGTTGAAGACTTTTTTCTCCAGCCTGGAGCGGGACGTGTTGGCGCTCTGCTTCAGATCACTGAGGTGGGGGTATTTCTTCTTCTTCCCTTTCCCTTTTTTGCCCACCCTGTCGGAACCCAGGTCTTCTCCGGTTGCCGCCTCGATGTCTCGCATCAGATCTGCATCACGCCAGTCTGCAACACAAAGAGGAGCGTCGTTCAGCGGTGGATAAGAGGAAACTCTCTCCAGGCTCCTGTACCAGAGAACATCCTGTACACTGTAGCACTGTTACTGCCTACCTGGGTTATTTCACCCAGTGCAGCATGCCACAGTTGCAGCATGTGCTACAATACTGGATAAGCTTGTGATTAGGCAGCTTTATTCTGAAAGCATTTCAAAGCTTTTGAAAGCGTCTGCTGCAACAGAGCGTTGCTGTGTGACACCAATCTGCTGCATGCAGCTATCATTGGCCAGTGATCTTAAAGACAGCATTTTTGATTGGCTGTAGCCAGTTGTGTATGGTAGTTACGACGGGGTCCATATCGTCTCGTCACATGATACAAACATACATATTACCCAGCAATCATCAATTGCATATATGCATCTGACAAAATACCAATAAAGATAAGCATTTATTCATTTAAGTGAATATTCTTTCATAGTTTATGTCGAATAAGGAACATTCTGTTACAGATTGTTGCCATATTGGAGATGGGTTTGCCATTCAAGGGCCCCACTGTCAACCACATAAATTCTCCTCTAAACTTTCACTAAATGAAGTGAATGTTAAACAGTGCTTTGGCTGCTCCTCACATTGAAGATGGAAACAGCTGTAGCCTGAGAATGTTAAAACTTTATGGACTTAAACTGACGTGTGAGTTAAACTAATATATGTTTCTGTAACATGTACAATCAAATTTCAAACACTAGGCAGTGATAAAGTGAAACATAAATGTATAGTTTGGGTATTTTGAAGTGAGTTTGTTGGGGTTGTATGAGGTACTTTAAGGCTTTGGCACACAGTTTGGAGTACCAGCACAGAAGCAGAGTAACGCTTTAGTAACGATCACACTGAAGTCAAACATTAAGATTTCAAGATGGTGGGTGCTTGTGTTTTTCCAGGCACAGTTAGGCTAATGCAGAGGAATATGGAAATTGTACAGTTAGTGCCAGAGTAAAAGGCTGTCTGACAGCGAGGTAAAGTGTATAGCATACACACTACACTTTATGTGGCTAAAATATATTTTCCTGCTGCCCCCGTCCACGGCAGTACACTGTTCTGCTTCCCTCCTGGGACTCCTGTAGCTGCTCCAAACTGGGGACAATCTGACCGCCGTCTCCTGCAGCTAATACACTGACTACGGATAAGTACCTCATACAACCCCACTTCAAATCCCCCGAACTATCCCTTTGAAGACTGAAACACACAATACAGAAATGTATCTCTGACAGCAGCCATGCTAGAGTCACAATCACATTGGCTGAAGCTATCTTAAAGACACAGAGCAATATGTATATGTAATTAACAATACCAGACTGCAACTCTAACAAAAAGTGATGTTAATGAAAAGTGTAATGAAGTAATTACAGCTGATAACGTAAATGAGCTCACAATGCACAGTTTTACAGAGCATGAGTAGTAAACAGTGTGTCGTACGGCTCATTTGGATCCAATCCAGGCGTTAATGAAAAGTGTAATGTCATAATTCTGGGTGATAAAGTAAAAGCGGCTGTAATGCAGAGTAATGACGGTCTAAACGAAGAGACACTTCTAGTTAATGACGTAGTGCGGTGGAATTAGAGATAAACCTGCAGTAATGCAAAGTAATTACACTGTGATTGTGATGGGATTGAAGCCGGCCTCTCCACTCTGTCAAAACACTGACCCCAGCTCAGTGTGTGTGTGTGTGTGTGTGTGTGTGTGTGTGTGGGGGGGGGGTTATTAATCAGCCGGTCTGACCCTGGGTCTGACTGGACCTTCAACTATCCCTTATTACACACACACACACACACACACACACACACACACACACACAGGCAGAGGAGCAGTAATTGAAAAGCAGCTGGTGTATTTAGGAGAATCATTACTGCTAAAAGAGGAGCAGCTGCATTTACATCGTGTGTGTGTGTGTGTGTGTGTGTGTGTGTGTGTGTGTGTGTGTCCTCTGTTACTTTGTTGTTGAGGTCTTAGAGGAGTTTGAGAGAGAAAGAAAAATAAAGAATAAAAATAAGAGATGAAAGAAATGAAGTAAAGAAAAAAAGCAAAAGGAAGAAAATATATAAAGAAATAAACAGAAAGGAGAGATGGCCGAGAGAGAAAGACAGTGTGAATTTAATCAGTGTTGCAGCAGGGCTCTTTTCTCTGTCAACACCTCTTAGCCCTTCCAGCTGGGGTCTGTGTGTGTGTGTGTGTGTGTGTGTGTGTGTCGGGGCAGGGGCCAGGCCACACACACATCCACTAAGGCATCTGGGGGTCTTTGGTTTGTTCAGACGTCTCTCAGCTACGCACCAGTAAGCACAGGGACCCTGGATGTGTGTGGATGTGTGTGGATGTGTGTGTGTGTGTGTGTGTGTGTGTGTGTGTGTGTGTGTGTGTGTGTGTGTGTGTGAGAGAGAGAGAGAATGAATCCAGAGTGAAGGGGAGCATCAATTCCTCTCATCCCTGTCTGTCAGTCAGCTGCTTGGACTCTTATGTTCCGTACCACTGTGTGTGTTTGACTCAGAAACACACGTTTAGGCACTAGTTAAGATGAGATAGAAGTAAAGGTGAATGACAACAACAACAAAAGCAAACCATGTTCAGCATTTCCACGGGTTGAAAAAAAGCACACACTACTTAAAGGTTTTATATATGAAATCCACTGCGACTAGCACCAGTATCTCATACCAAAACACATACAGCCCACCAGACTCCATTCACAAAATCAGTCATTTTACCTTGCAGATAATTGTAAAACACACTTCAAACTGGACAGAAACAAAATAAAATCATCAAAATAAATCCTTGATTCACAGTTAGACAAGAAATACAAAAGCTGTGAAACAGGTTGCTCTGGCTACAATTTAACGTAATCCTTGGGGATATGCAACCGTCACTACAGTACGTCCATTAAAGGTTGTTGTTTCTGCCACTGACAGGCTCAGGTTGTTATTCTCAGGGTCTGACAGCATTATAGAAAGGATCCCTACAGAGATAGAGCTTTTGTTTAACCAGAAACAACCTTAATAATGCTCGCCACCAGACTCCATTGACAATAATTTGACTGACCGTTAACTCACCAGGCTAATACATTACATTGGCTTTACTCCCTTCCTTTGCTGTTCCCACTGGGCATTGTTGCAACACATTAAACACATGGATGGACACCTGATTGCCACCAGACTCCACTGACTCCTGCTGAGAACGCCATGACTCTACTATATCCTTACATAGCTCATTGCTGATTGCTGCTATATTAATGTTCTAAATCTCAAATATAGATATATAACCTTTAACGTCTGCTATCAGTTCAAACTTATGGATTGCCTCCTGGATCATAGTTCATTTGTTCATCACCTCACCGGTACCTGAAGCAATGTAATCACACACTACATGTGCCAATTTAAAAAGAGTCAGAAAGCAATCAATGCCTGATTAACTAGACTGAACACAGGACCTTGCAGGTGTGGCCACCTTTGTAACTCCCTGCCTGTATTTTCCCCACACCTCAATGTATGGGAATGATAAGTAGGTGGATTAGTTTCAGCCACGACTCACTCAGTTACTTCAGTTGTTATTTTTTCCTTTAATGTCCACGTTCCCCTGCGCTCTGGCCGTGTTGCTGTTAGCTTTCAGTCTGGTCTGGAGGAGGCTGCAGACAGCCATGTGCTCCCTTTGATGGATTTCACCACCTGCTTCTTTTCATCTGTCAGTGATCAGCTTCATCAGGAGGTCCATGCTATCCCCCCAGTGACTCCGGAAGGAGCAATGCTTTGATTCCACCGGGCAAGGCTCTGTGGCGCTGCTTGGTCCTTCCTCCACTCAGCTTCAAGCCCCACCAGGAGCGTTTCAGTGTTTTGCAAACCAGATCTGACTCACCTTCGCTCAGATTTTGTTGATTTGGACATTATGTCTTGATATATGTGTTTCTACCATGGGTAAGTAGGCTACATTTTTGTTCAGTTTTTACGATTGGGAGTCAGCACAGGGTGTTTTATTTGAAAAATTGACCGGTTTATCTGTGCTGTTTCTGTGTCTGAGTTCCTGTCTGCTCTATCTGCTCTGTGCTGCTTGACATGGCTTCTATCCAAAGTATGGGCGTGCTGTGGCTGGAACGTCTGACCACACAGGGTCCAGCAACAGCCATGTCTGTCGCTATGACAACTGGTCTCAGCTGACCTTTACGATGTCCCTCACTGCCTGTTTAACCTCACTGTATATACATATGTATGTTGGTGTGTGTATATGTTTGTGTGTGACTGAATAGGCCGAGGGAGCTGAGGCCTATGGTCCATCAACTCATTCAGGCCACCGGCCCCCCTGCTGTGAGATTGATGTGTGTGCCTGTCTGTGTGTGTGTGTGTGTGTGTGTGTCTAGGTGTGAGATTGACTCGTGGATCGATAGTGTAGTTGGTAACAAAAGATGCTATTTCACAACTCACTGGACTGCATGCTATGGCCACACACACACACACACACACACACACACACACACACACACACACACACACACACACACACACACACACACACACACACACACACACACACACACACACACACACACACACACACACACACACACACACACACACACACACACACAGAGCTGGTGGTTAACAAGACACTGCAGGCAGCTGGTGGACATCCTGCAGACTGACTCTCTCTCACTCACACACACACACTGAGACAATGATAATGTGTAGGACAGACTAGTAAGTGTTATTTTCCCTTACATACTATTTATTGTTGGCTCTCTCCACTCAGTCCGGTAACTGGGCAGCACACTGAGCTGTGATGGAAGTTATTATTTGTGCATGAAAAGAAAAATGTATCCTCAAACCTAATGTATCCATCAGAGCCAGTTTCTCCCAGCATTTAAACCAGCAGCAAACACCACCAAAATCACTGGAGCACCGACACTTCCACACCAAGTTACACTGATGTGAAAACAGCAATGGCTAACAGTGGTAACCTGGTGAGGCAGCTGGACTCCAGAGATCAAAAGATCACGTGACAATCCATCTTGCCAGACTTCAAGCTATGTGTTTTAATCCAACCACAGTGGTTCGGACCAATCAGCGTCCTTTAACAAACTACTAGCAGTTACGGTATGAGCTATGGGCGGGGTTTAACTGCTTCTGCCAGTCCTATCTTTCCCTACTGAGTTTGCCTTTGATAAATACAATACAATAAAAGCCTTGTTACACTTGCATGTCTAGGTGTAGTTGGCATCAGTATTTCCTGCTGATATATTTCCTGCTGTACAACTTTTGCAGCAGATTTCTGAATTCACAGTGTTCCTGGAGCTCTAACCTGTTCCCCTTGTGTTTGCACACACTGGCCACCATAGAGCCTCCCCAGCATATTTATCAGTATGTGTGGATTCAACTCTACTGTGACACCTTTCTATTGCAGTCCTCTGTGTTTGTGTTTTAATGGATTGAGGGGGACTCAGGAACGGTCAGTGTGTGTATGTGTGTGTGTATGTGTCACTCCTCACCAGGCTGCTCCTCCCTCTTCCTCCTCTCCTCCTGCTCCTCCCTCAGTCGGTCCTCCTGCCTGCAGGGTCGACCCTCCTGGTCTCGAGGAACGATCCGGCCATGGAAGGGACACTGGAGGACACACACACACACACACACACACACACACACACACACACGCATTAACAGTATGGGACACAGACAGAGACAGAGATGTCTCTGGAATCACTTTGTGCTGTTACCTTGTTGCGGTCCTGCCTCTGACACAGGTTTCCGTTGCCCAGTGGAGCTCTGCAGTGATGGCTGACAGGAGTGAAGCTCCCAGGAAAGGAGATGTATCTGCTCCTGCTCTCTGCCAGGAGCTCCTTGTTCTCCACCTCCTCCTCCACCTCGGCGTGAACCCAGAACTGATGCTGAGAGGCAGACCTTCACCAGGACAAAGAGCAACATATCAAAAACACACATCTTTTATTGCTAGGTGGAGTTATATGTAAAAAGTAATAGTAGTTTCCAGATGCTGGGTTTATTATCATATTCTACGAGGGCTCAAACTGCAAATGTTTGGGTCTTTGATTGTAGATTATTTCCACATGCATGAAACACTGATACTGATATTCATTCAGACATTTAAATAAAGCCACAAAACAAAACCAGGAATGCCATGACAGATTTGAATTCAGTTTTATATCGCTGTATTCTTCTGACAAACACCATCTAGTGACACACAGCTCACTGAACTGCACAGGCATGTGTATAGGCACCTTTGTGTTTATCAGTGATAAACTGTGTCAGGGTTCCCTCTCTTTTTAAGAAATGTTTTTCTGGGATGTTTTCCAGGAGATTTTCTTGACAATACTGGACAGCACTTGCTCAAAATACGTAATATAATTTACCTGTAGGTCTAGTATTTACACATTTAACCTGTTTTATTCATTCAGTCATTTTTTTATTTACAGCATTTCCTCTGGGAATTCTGCTTGCAGCTCTGGAAAAAACTGACTCAACATCAAAAAGATCTGGTTGTATCGCAGAGCTTATCCTACCAACAGTCAAGTTTCAAATGCAGCTAGGTTTAGGTAGCACATCTGGGTGAGGGGCTAAAATACAATAAATCGTTCTAGCACAACATAGAATATTTTCTTTCCATTTGAATCCATTTCCAGGTGTTTCCATGACTGGAAAACTAGTATATAAACGTGAAAGTTTTCCAGAATGCATGTGTGCCTGTGTGTGTGTGCGCGGTGCCTTACTTGATGATCTTGCCAGCATTGGGCTGCTCCTGGCCCCAGTAGTACAGGTCTAAACCAAATGGAACCACAGGAGCATCAGCAGCCTTCTGGTCTGAACTGGGACCTGAGGAGCTGCTGCTGGAGGAGAAACAAGTGGAGGGAGAGTTAAAGCTTCATGCACAAACCAATTCAACTTAGAGTATGTGTTCAACTGTCACATTTGACAGAAAGCCTTGTTGTATACTGGATTAAAAGAAAGAGGACTTTAAAGCTTAAATTAAAAGTTGGAATGAGGCCCTTTAATTGTTCAAAAGTGAACTTTAGAAGAGGCTGTATGAGCTCTCCAGCAGAGAACAGCACTGCTCTGTTAAAAAATAAAATAAAAATAAAAATGTATGAACCGACAGTGGCTGAACTTCCCTAGTGTCCAAATCATTAAGATGGATCTAATTAGTGTGTGACAGTCGGAGAAGGTGCAGTGATAGCAGGTGGACCTGGGTTCTGCAGGTGGAGGGAAGTTCTGTCTGAGGAGGCGCAGCGTAGCGGCTGCACATGTTGGATCCTGCTCCTCCTCTGTGAGTCGCTTTAGCCGCCTGGAGGAGGAGGGAGGGGAGGAGGTGGAGGAGGTGGAGGACAGAGGGGGAGGAGCTGCAGGTCTTTTCGCAGGAGTTTTTTTTGGGAGCGGTGCTGTTGAGGTGGAAGGAGTTGGATCCAAACCTGCAAACAGAGACGAGAGGAAGTCAAGACCTGTTGTTGAAACATATGTCTCATCTAATCCACACATTTGTAGATCATTATTAGATTTACTGTTTTGGCATGCTGTCAGGTTGACCCATTTGTAAACAGTTATAACTGACAGATCTGCAGCAATGTGCACTCAAACATCCCGGATAAGTTATGTCAGTCGTGTGTGTGTGTGTGTGTGTGTGTGTGTGTGTGTGTGGTCAAACACTGGGTCAACCAGGGTCTCTGGGGACGGAGCAGGACTTAAGCACACACACCAGTGCACACACACTGCAGGTGAGATCAGAGGGAAGCAGTAAGCTGAGCGCTGCCGACATGCTGATCCCACACATTATTAGGGCTGACCTGGATGCTTCAGAGATTCAGTCACCGCCACGGTACGCTACGCAAATGATCGGCCCCGTACAGTGTGACTCTTCTTCTTGCTTTAATTACAACACAATTTAAATGCAGAAAAAAGTCAAACCACAATTTCTGTCTAAACACTACTGCTGCAAGCTGTGGAAGTATAAAAATGTAGAAGAAACAAACAACAGAAAGTCTGTTAGAATCTATGTGTTCAATACAAGCTTGTAATAAACCGGTCTGTACCAGAGATCTACTGTCACCAGTCTGACAAACTCACAAAGGAGTTCATGGAATTCATGGTCACACGGTAATTTACCATGTAAGGTTAGATTCCAAAAGGACCCATTTGCTAAAGGTTTTGTTGCTGTCTGCACCAAATAAGACATTCTACTTAAGACGATGCTCTGTCACAGAGAAGTGTGTCTCAGATGGATGTTATAAACAAAACAAACACCAATGTTTCACTGCTGAAAGTTAGCAAAGTCAGCCAATTATCTGAAAGATTGAATCCTAATTAACAACAATTTTGATAATGGTTAATAGAGATAGTTAATAGAGAAGAGTTCATGCCTCACAATACTTATAATAATGACATAAAAATTGGTCAATTTAAACAGAATTTGAGAAGAAATATAACTGAATTCAAATATCATTTTAGATGTGCCTCTAGACCAACAAAACAATAAATTCTGTGGTTTTTTTGGCCACTTGGGGGCAGCGACAACAACTTATAAAATAATTATAAAATCAAAGTTAAAGGAAAGTGTTAGCAAACAGCTAAGCAGGGCTGATAGTGAGTGTGAACCAAACAAAAAGCAAATCAATGAGCTAAACGGCCCGCTGAGCTGAGGGGAACTAAAGAGGTGTGTCTGTGGGTTCCTCACTATGAGTGACAAAGGTGTCACTCATAGTACGTTACACATGGTCACTTAATCCATTATCAATATAAAAATATTGATTAATGCAGCTTGAATCATTTCTTCCCCAGAGTTTTATTAGTGGCAGTGTGGTGAAGGCTTTAAAACCCCATATACATCTTTTAAGTTCAGAAATAAGGTTTAAGTGAAAACATTGCTGCAGATTAAGAAGGGGTATGAGTTGTGTTTGGGGGACTCATGTAGAGCTGCAATGATTAGTCAGTAAATCGATTTCTTTCAACTGAAAGAAAATGAATGATGAACTATTTTGATAATTGATTAAGGTGTCATTTTTTTTAAGCAAAAACGCCAAACATTTTATGGTTGCAGGTTCTCAAATGTAAGATTTGCTGCTTTTCCTGGTATTAAATTATAGTAATTCGAATATTTGAAGATTTTGGGCTGATGGTTTGATTAAATAAGACATTTAATTATATCTCCTTGTGCTCTAAGATACCATAAAGGGCATTTTTCACTGAAATTTTATAGACCAAAGCTTAATGGATTATTGAGTATCTGTAGATTAATCGTTGATGAAAATAATATGGGCTGGTAGAATACTGGTTGTCCACATGTTTTACATTACATAATTTCATAATAGTCAATGTAAAAGGCTCAGGATGGTGAAATGTTTGTCTCACACGATGCAGTCACGATCATTTTAGCACAATTCAATTCTCAAAGTAAGGCCTCACTCTACCTTCTACCTTCTCCTCCCTCTATGATCACTCCTTCTCTCTCTGTCGGATGGTGAAATACCGACTCAATCTGCTCTTTTCAAACCACCAAATGGCAGAGGTTTGTCTGGATGTTGTGGATGTTAAGACGCACAGATCAATGGGAGGAAATGTGTATAGTTGTATGTGCATGTGTGTGTGAGTGTGTGAGGGGGGTTGCTAGAGAAAGAGAGAGAAAAAAGGGGTTAAGGGGGTGTGAGGGTGAGAGAGGGAGAGAGAAAGCGAGAGAGGAAAGGCGGAAAGAGGTATTGATTTTCTCGGGTTAAGCAGGGCCTGTAATTAAAATGTTAATTTGAGAAAGAGAGAGATAGTGTCCTGACAGCACAGAGAGGGATAAGAGGACTGATAATCAGAATGACAGAACAGGACAGAGGGGAAGAAAGAGAGAGAGAGAGAGAGAGAGAGAGAGAAAGAGAGAGGAAATGGGATTGGAGATCAGAGCAGAGCCTGGCTTTCTCTGAATGAATCAGAAGAAAAGAAAGAGGGGGAATGTAGAGAAATGATAAATGTGATCCACTGACTGAGATGAAAAGAGTCAGAGGAAGACAGAAAGCAACAGGAAAACTACTGTAATCAGGAAAAACTGAAAGAGGAAAGAAGAATTGGTGTGATAGGGTACAATAGAGGAACAGTGACATACTGAGGACTACAGAAAAATATCAAACCTCAAAGACCTCCTTAGATACTGATAATGTCCAAATTAGTGAGGTTAATTTCTCTTTTTTTATACTTACATCAAATATTTATTAGATGTAGTTAGGTGTATAGGAACCAATAGGCCTGTCACGATAACTACTTTTGTTGGACAATATATTGTCTCTGAAATAATTGTGACAAAGAATATTATTGTCATTTTAAGACCATTAAGAGAGACCAGGAGACTTGGGACGATAGAATGATGCCGGCCTTATCCTTTAAAACAGGATACATATAAGGGGGTCTTTTGCTATTGCTTAGGCCTATGAGGGTATGCCTGTACGAGCTAAAGCCACAAAAACAGCACACATTTGTGTTTAGGCTAATGTGTAGCTGGATGAGACAGAACACAAGTTGTGTACCAAGAAAAGATAGCATTTATTCCGTTCAGATTTGTATTATTAGCATTGAGTATTTCTTTATATTCAAGCCAGATGGCAGGTTGGTGTGTTTGTGTGCATGTGTGAGTGGGTGGTAAAATCTGGGTGCAGGGCTAATAGGGACTCATTAAAGAGGTTGCATTGTTAATTTGCTATGGCCCCTGTAGATCATTACCTATCCCACTAATCACCCTGACACACACGCACATGCACCCACACACACACACACACACACACACACACACACACACACACACACACACACACACACAGATACACACAGCTGTTTTGGGCACATCAGATACAATCTAATTACTTTAACGTCTAATTGATTAGTAATGGAGGGGGTTGGGAGTAGAGAGGGACGGGCTCACAGGTAAAGAAGAGGCTCAGTGTGAATGTAATGACTCAGGAGGCTGGTGGGGAGTACTCTCCAGGGGGTCAAAGGCCATCTCACAGCCACAACAACATGGCTGACCTAGCAATAACAGCGCAGGCTACAACATGTTTCCACCATGGTGTCAATAACACACACACATAAAGACACTGCGGTTCGCATATGAATCTATTTGAGTGATGGTGAGAAGCTTGAATATGGCTGACGGAGCAGCGGCGTCAGAGTTTTAGTGTTGCCTGGAGCGTGTGCATTGCTGCTGATAATGATATTAACAGCATTCAAATTCCATCTAATATTTAGGAACAAAACGTGTTGTAATGTAGCTGACATAGCAATAAGATGAGCAGGCAGTTAGTTAATGACCTGAACATTTGACCTCTAACCTTGCATGCTGCCTGGAGGCTAGACATGATCCAAACAACAAATCCAACGCAAGCACAGCGCAAGAAGGAAACACTACTATAAGAGCCATTCATATGTAGCCAGTGACGACTCTGGGTGTGAAGGTAAATGGATGTGTTGACAGGACTATATCCATCAAAGATACACAGGGAAAATGCTTGTGGAAAAGAAACTATCCGTCTCCATTACAAGGCTGTGCTGCATTCCAAATCAGACAAAAACACATACTTAACAGTCAGAACCCAGCATGTGAGACCAGGCTGGACCGCTAACTCACTCATTGTGAGCTGATAAGGCTCAATAGGCATTTATGGAGGTGTCATTCCTGGGCATACACCAAAATTACTTTGCAGGTGACCATGAACAGTGTGCCTTCACTTGTAACAGCAGCCTGAGTGGTTGAACATACCCGCTGTAAGGCTGTGCTTGGTTTTTGAAGCATCACAAATCAATGTTTAGGGATAGTTCACCCCAAAATCAAACGTTTCCTCTTACCTGAAGTGCTATTTATCCATCTAGATTGTTTTGGTGTGAGTTTACTTTTACATTCATCAGGTCAACACAAACACGACTCCATATGGACAATGTTGCTCAGTGTCTGCTGGATATGTAAATAGGCAACTGTATGAGCTTAGAATATGTCAATGTTGTGTTTACAGCTTGTTCTGTTTCCCCCGAGAGGCCAAAATCCAATGAATGCAGTGGAAAAACATGGCTGCAGTTCTGAGAATGCCGTCAATATTCGGTTTACTGTCAGCTGATGTCAGTCTCTCAGAAAGAAACAATGAGAGAACTAGGCCAGGCAAAAAGATTGTGGTAATTAAGTTTGTTTGTTTTTTTGTGTCAATATGTATCTTTATCCAGCACTGAGCACCTCAAAGAAATTCAAATTGAGTCTAGCAAGTGCCCCTCCTCAAAGCTTTTTTAGATCTCTAAAATCAGTTTGAAAATGAGGAAAGCTTGCTGTATCAGCTGAGTCATTGGTAATGGTATTTCATGTTTGATTCTTAGAATGAAATCTTAGGACACAAAATAAAAATAAAACCATATTTCATATTGTGGCATATGTCACATTAGATTTAGACAAGCAGGGTAGTATAGATTCATTCTATGATCCATGTATCACTAATCAAACTAATGACCAGAACCCATTTCGAAAAAGTCCAAATATCAAACCACATGCCTGTCTGGCTGTGGTTGGGACAAGAAGTGGCTTTCCTTTAGTTTCTGGGGCATTTTCTGGACACACACACACACACACACACACACACACACACACACACTTACATGTACACACATATTTCTAACCATGGTAGTATAAATAAACCCATTTAAGAAGCACTTTACCTGCACATTACCAGCTGGTTCTTTGAAGTGTGTCTGTGTGCGTGTGTTTGTTTGTAGAGTGTGTGTGTGAATCTTAAAAGATTAGGGGCAGCGGCAGGTCTTCTTTTGTAGCTTAACCTCACTATTTATGCACGTGTCTGTAGCCTTGAGGTGCGCACGGGCGTGTGTGTGTGTGTGTGTGTGTGTGTGTGTGTGTGGAGTTGGACTGACCATACTCGGCTCGTAGATGCTCTGGAATGTGCGGCTCATAACCCTCCTTCTCTGGAACCTCATCGAAATCATCCTCATCGTCGTCGTCCTCCTCATCTCCGTCTGAAGAGGCCTTCATCTGAGAAAGAGTAGGTAAGGTTTAGTTAAACATACTACAAAGAGTTTATAACTGCTTATGAAACAGCCTCAGTTTGATACTGATGCTTCTATAGACCTACATAAACAACCACATTTCAAAGTCATCAGGGGACATAGCAAACTCCAGCCAGTGCCATGCCATTGTTCCAATAGCCCTTCATAATGAAACCCAGACAGTCTGAAAAATGTGGCCCCACAGCCCGTGATTACAAAAACAAACGGCCATTGTTCTGAAAATACACACTCTGTTATCACTAAATTACAAACACAACTTAACTGATGGAATTAACATACTTATTTTAACCTAAACTATGATCTTTTCCTAAACATAACCAAGTAGGGGGCACCTGGATGGCTCACCTGGTAGAGCTGGTGGCCCATGCAGCGGATATGGAATTGAATCCGACCTATGGCCGTTTGCTGCATGTCATTCCCCCTCTCTCTCCCCCCTTCCTCTTCAGCTGTTACTATTAATAAGGCCATAATAAACAAATAAAGGCAATAAAAGCTATATATATATATATATATATATATATATATATATATATAGTACAAAAAATACAATAAATAAATAACCCAACAAGTAGTTTTGAGGCCTAAACCTAACCAAACTGAGAGATAGAGGGCAAAAAAAACTGTAATGAAATGAAATGCTATGTAGTCTTTGCATATGTTAGGGCAGCAACATTCAACCTACTGTGTGTTGAGCTTAGCAATAGGATATTAACCAGCGGGCAAAGCAGCTTGGCAGTCTGATAGACAGATAAGAAAGAAGAGTACAGTGAGCTAGTTCTCTGTGTGTGAGACAGGGGCTGAAAGAGATGGAGATGGGATGAGCCTGTTGCTCAGATGTACAATCAGCCCTTCTTCTTGGGGTACACTGCATGTTTCACACCACAGCAGCACCGCAGACATTATAACCACCACATATAAATAAACATACACTCTGCTTTATCCTATTTGTTGAGCTTAATGTCACCTTTTCACAATATCGTCCAGATTAATAAGGATGAGGCAGTTCAAGTAAATGGTCATAAACCAGAACAGCACTACGTACAGGTACAGTGAAATCTTGTAAAACAAGAACAACAACCTGATATTTTGTCAGGACCTGCCAGACTCAGACCAGGTAGGAAAACTCTGTATATGTGCCTTTTCCAGTGTAAAATAGCTCATTACTTGGAAGATTATGGTTTCATTTATTATTTTAATATCTCAGATACAGTTTAGAAGTGGTTCAAATCCCATTTTAAGCACAGGACCTACCAGGTCTTAATGTTACATCATGCGTGGAGGTCAAACAAATCAATTATTTAATGTACCTGAATTTCTTTTAAAATTCAGAGTAAATACTGTTATTGTCCCCGGAGTAACAAAAGAAAGGCTGAGCACTTATCTTTAGTCTCTACCTTTGAAAACTAAAACTCAAGTAAGAAATCTTATCTGTAATCATGAACCTGGAGCTAAACTTTAATAACTACATGAAATCAAAAACAAACTCTGAATAACATCATCTTTAAAGCATTGTAAGAATCAAAGGATTCATGTCCATGCAGGATTTAAGAGAATCCTGTTCACACTTTTATTACATTAGTCAAACCGGAGTGCATTTGTTAGGGACTATTTTCAGCAGCGGATTAAACCACGTTTGTTGCTCTAGTGATTATTCCTGGCAGCAGGATGGTGTGTGTGGAAGTGAGTCAAAATAAACTGGAGTGTATGTCATGCAGTGCAACAGTGTGGCTCAGTTATGTGTTTTGAATAGTTATTGGACAACAACAGAGCTCTATGGCACAGAGGAAGAAGATATATCAGGCTGTAATACACACACAATACTTGTTAGCAGGGTATATTCATTGTTGTTTTGGGTTTGCACAGGAGGTTTGTTAACAATAAGAAATAGAATATCAACAGCCTTTCTTATAAGTTAAAATATGTACCTACAAATGTTTCCTAAAAATGGTGAATAGTTACAGGTTCTCCATCATTCCTTTACTCTTCTCCTCAGTAGTGTGTGATCTCTGGCTGAGGGGAAAAAGGGATGACAACGACTGTGTGTGTCTTTATAGTGTGTGTGTGTGTGTGTGTGTGTGTGTGTGTGTGTGTGTGTGTGTGTGTGTGTGTGCATGCGTGCGTGCATGCGTGTTTGTGTGATGAGCTGCTATCAGTGCTAAGCAGAATTTATGGTTTTTAATTTCGTGGTGAGGTTGTTAGCCATTGGCTGGGCTACAATGCAGAACACAACACTCCTATACACACACAGGGGTCATTTCCATAACACAAATGTGTGTGTGTGTGTGTGTGTGTGTGTGTGTGTGTGTGTGTGTGTGTGTGTGTGTGTTTGCGTGTGTGGGTGTGGGGTGGCTGCTATGCCTTTAACAGCGGAGGACACAGACACACACTCCAGTCCAGCAGCATAATAATCACAGTGATTAGCGTTATGAGGAGCAGTAAAACCGCACGTTAAACTAACCTCTTATTCCCAAAGGCCTCCTTTTCATTAGTGTGCAGTACCTGTGTGTGTGTGTGTGTGTGTGTGTGTGTGTGTGTGTGTGTGTGTGTGTGTGTGTGTGTGAGCGATAGAAAGGCTGCTGTGTTACTGCTGATAAAGCCCATTAGAATGTTAGAATTAGTTTACAAATGATGAGTCTTTAGATTATTACTAAAACACACCCACACCCACAAACCCCCCCCCCACACCACACACACACACACAGAGGACAGAGTCAGTTAACCATGTCACAACCCTGAACACCCCTCCTGATCCAGCACACAGAGACCAATTAAAACACCTCATATTACAATACTCACTATTCAGTTAACCAGCGACTAAACAATTAAAGCCTAATTAGTTCTCATTAATGCAGCCACAAAGACTGAGGCATGGTGGGTGGTCTACAAGGGACAGAAATTAGGCTTCATTCATGAATTATGAAATAATATGAAAAATACAACAAGACAATGGCAACGGATGAAGTTTTTTAAATGTCTTTTTAGCTTCCATGAAACCAAAAATACTACATTAGAGGCTCCAGTTCTCTCTTCAAGTCACCTGAAGCTAAAATATTCGTACCACACGTGCATATTTGATCATTTTCTGTGACAGTCCACACTAACGAACGTCTGTCGTCCATAAGTAGTATGCAGTCCAAAGTTTATGACCGCACAGACTGTTAACACTGTACTCTTTTTTCATAGCTACCCCTTGAAAAAGAAAGGAAAGATTACGGACCAATCCAAATGACAATTAGGTTGAGAAACTATATTAATGGTACAAGATATTTTCTTACTCCTGTTTTCCTTTGTTTATTACCATTACTCAGGTTTTGAATGCACCTTTTCTCTTACTGCTTATATACGTACACTTATATACTATAAATTGTATTGTTATTTTGGATATAATAACATTGCTTTTTGTGAAATAAAAAAAGAATTGGAAAAAAAAAAGAATGGTCAGTGTTGTTAAAATATCCATGTATTTGATTAATAAGATAAGATGAAGTTGTTTGCTGCTTTGTTCACTTCAGTTTCTCTTCTCATGTACCGATTTGCTGAAGCTGAACAGCCAATCAGAGCGATTTCTCCCACTGACGGCCCCAGCCGCCGATGAGTGCCACCGAGTGCCAACGGTGCAGAACACAGCGCAAAAACTAGGGCTACCGAAGCTCATCGACAGCCCGACAGTGGCCTTAACATAACTAACACTGGCAGCAGTAATGGGGCTCAAATCATTGAATATAATGTCAGAGGTGCAATGGTTGTGGTCAAAATGACTCAAATGTATTCATTTCAAAGCGGGTGTTAGAGGGAGTAACAAATATATCTATATTTCATATTTCTCTGTGTGTACTCCCGCTAATGTCTCCCTTCTCTCACAGCAGCAGGCAATGTGCACTCATACACACTCAAGTTATCATTCCACTATTACCTTATAAAAACTAAGTGACTTCTATCTGTGTGAAATGTAACGCTGCAGAAAGTAAAGGCAGGGAGGTAAAATTCTCCTGACTCTGATAAAAACAGAGCTGTTATTACTGCAAATGATCCTTTTAATCTCAGAAAGGATGTTGCATGGAGCGAACCTCGAGTGTGAGATACTGAGACTTGGTTTTATTTATTTCCCGAAGAAAAGCTGAGAGAGAATGCTGTTAAACTGAAGTGTAACATTTTAAACACCAAAGCAAACTTTCTCCATTACTCCACTCCGCTTCTATACTTATTCATCCTCACAGCACAATGGATTCACACACCACACACGTACACACACGTACACACACATACACACAGATATAGTCTCTATAGGTTTTGTGCTTGTCTACTTTAATCCCAGCTGGTTTATTCTGCTCTGATCAATGACCTAAGACTAAGAAGTGATCACCCAGCTGGAGGAAAATCTTGCCCTAACATCATCCCTTTTCCCCCTCTTTCTGCCTCTTTGTCTCTAATTCACCTTAATTTAATCCTGATAGCATCGAGTGCTGTCGGCTGGCCTGGCAGAGCTGTAAGTCTCACAGTAGAATTAGCTTTCCTCCAGAAACATTTTGCTGACGGGGAGCGCAGCTAAAATATGGCCTCTATTCCCCCACATGGCTGCACGGGGGGCTGCTTTGCATTTTAACAGAGCTTTGGTTTATTCTGCGGGACACACACGGGGAGAAAATCACACAGCAACGCAGAGTTCCCCACAGGAGATAAAAACTGCTTCTCTAACTGAAACTCAAGATTTACCAGACAAATTAGAAGTGATGGTTTAAGTAAAGCAGGGCCATGTGTCACTGTAATAGGAAAAAGACAAAACAAATATTGGGAACTTTAACATTAAAAACAGGCCCAGATAGAAATAAAAATAGTTTCTGAACAGAGCAGAATAAATAAAAAAGTTGTTTAAGTAAAGCAGGGCTATGTGTTACTGTAATGGCAATGTTTACTCAAAGATAAAGTAAAGCAGGTCCCTAAAGGGAAAATAGGGAAGAAAGAACA